TGATTGCTGGCTTCTGGGATTTGCAAAGCCAGCAGCATAGGTGAGACTGTGGGGTCTGCTGCTGTTGACCAGAGTAAAGGAATTCATGGTAATGGAAAACGTTACAGTCCTAGAAGGAGCCATGAGCCTTGGGGGCACTTGAAAACAGTCCAGTCCACGGACAGAGCGAGAGGGATGCACTGAGGGAGCTTGGTCGCCAACGGCCAAGCTTTTCTGGGATTTGCAAAGCCAGCAGCATAGGTGAGACTGTGGGGTCTGCTGCTGTTGACCAGAGTAAAGGAATTCATGGTAATGGAAAACGTTACAGTCCTAGAAGGAGCCATGAGCCTTGGGGGCACTTGAAAACAGTCCAGTCCACGGACAGAGCGAGAGGGATGCACTGAGGGAGCTTGGTCGCCAACGGCCAAGCTTTCACCCGCTCCAGGGAGCAGGCAGAGAGGCAGGCTGCAGCCCCGATTATTTTATTTTTATAGCAAAAACAAACCTTCTCTCCCCCTCCTCCCCTCCAGCTGGGACCCTAATGGTACTGATGGGAGGGGGTGAGAGTGACACCGGGCCACTGTGCACAAAAGGGGTGGGAGGGTGTGCAGTCCCTTTCCCACATAGATTGGGCAGTAGGTCCTGGTGTTGATTGGCCCGCTGCTCTGCGTTGGGTAACCCAGCCCATCAGAAACAGATGAGTCACGGGCGGGACAAGGGAACCCAGTGCCTGACTGTGCTCCGGTGACCATCGCTTGGGGGCGCGAGGGGCGGGAACCCCACTTCATACCAAGGCCCACGATGCATAAAAATAATCACTCAATAGCAGCCCAGCAAACTGCTCCCTTGAGGTTTAAACCAAAGGCTTGTTCTTTTTCTACTAAAACAAAACCACCTCACACGTCGCAACGCTCGTTGCTTTTTTTTTTCTTCTTCTTGCTGTTCTGTTGACGGTGTTTGTGTATCCAGATGTGAAATGAAACCGCTGAGCCGTTTTTTTTTCAGAGGCCCGGAGGCGGCGCAGACCGGTTGGGCAGAAGGGCCTGGCCCGTCTGCTGCGATGTGCTGAGATCCTCCGAGGAGGTCAGGAAAGCTCCCTCGGAGACCTTCTCCACCCCTCTTGATCCAGTTGATAAATATAACAATTAAGGTGCAAACTCGCTTACTCCTCCCTGGTCTCTCCTCCAGAGCCAGCGGGGCTGAAATGTGTGACTAGCTCAGAAAACGTTTTTGTACAATTTCCACCAAAGACTACGAGAGAGCAGACCCTAAGAACCCAGTCGTTCTGATCACCATCTTCCAGCTGCAGGGAGAAATAAAGCCTGATTTTTATCAGCCGTTCTGGAGAGTGGCCAGAGTTAGACTGAGATTAAAATTTTGCCTAACACTGAGCACTTACTTCCCCATTTGGGGTGGGGTTTTTCAAAAGGCACCCAGTTCTCATTGACTCTCCTTGGGGATGCTTAATTTCCTCACGCATGTTTGAAAAGCCCAATCCTTAAGCTTCTAAAATAAGCGGTCTAAGTATGTGTCTTTTTTTTTTTTTTAATTCCTGTCTTTGAATTGGAAGGCACCCACGACAGCTGTCCAAAGCGAGAGCTGTAGGGGCCAATTTCAGGAGCCGATCTATACATTTAGGAGCCTGATGTGATCCTGTTACTTTATACCTCCCCTGGAGTTTTAAACTCTAGTGGTTTTGGGGCTAGCAGCCGTTTTGGACAGAGCTGAAGTGAGCAGCAAGATGTTGATCAGAACGACGTGATTCCTTTGCTTCAGAGCATTCGGTTCTAGGCCTAGTGATTTGAGAGATGCACCCTTTTCAAAATCACTGCCTAGACAGTTTTTTCAACGCTGGTCCAGTCCTCAGAATACCAGAATCTGGTGGTGCAATCCCTTTTTATAAATACAATCAAAAATAATTTCTCTGGCTGTATGATCTGACTACAGAAATCTCTAGCTAGGTACGCTGTGAACACGAAAACCAGGCAGGCCCCTGGCAGTAACTTACACAGGACTTTGACATGCCTTTAAGGCTTCTGGGATGTTATGGGTAGCACTTGTTACATGAGCAAGAAACTGCTGGTTTTCCACAAGGTAGCAATAAAAGGCAAAATGGATTGATGATGTGCAATTTTTGAGAAATCTCCAACAGAGCCCAAAACTGTCAGTTCTCATGCAGAAACAATGCACTTTTCCTGCCGCCTGTCTGTAGCCGAGCAGGCAGAGACAGAAGGAACTAAATGTCCTGTAAAGCTGTCCTTTCTGACCGGAACTAGAAACGAAGCTTAGGGTGAGCTGTGGGTCTTATTTTCTTACTGTCAGTTAGTAAATTCCGTTGTGGAAAGCTGGTGCCCGGGTCTGCTGGGGATTTGTAAAGCACGGTTGTGGTCTGAAAAGCAGACATGTAAACCTGACTCTTACTGCGGCATTTTCTCTCAGATTCACTTCAGAAAACTCTGCCTTTTGGGTTCCAAAGGCAGCTTCTGTGCCACCAACCATCTCCCCCTCTGTCTGAAATCCCAGCTGGCTTAGTTCTACCTCCCAGACTCTCAAATGCACCCGTGGAACGGAGCTGCTGACTCTTAATGCGCCTGGCGAGGCATAGTCACCTTTCAGCTGGCTCCTACAGGGCTAACGGGAGCAAAAAGTCCTCTGTCCAGGTCACATCTGCTTAGCTTCCTGGGCACGGCCATGGAGCTCCATGAAAGCATCAGTTTTATAGTCACTTTCTGACCATAACCGTTGCACTAACCTATTGTCGATTTGGTACGAAACGCAGCTAAGCCCAT